CATGGGACAACTAAAGGCTGGGCCTGGAATGTGAGTGACACCTCAGCCTTCAACTGGTCACCAGGAAAACCTGAGTGCTAACAGTGTCTTTTGGACATTGCACTCTGGCACTCACTGAAGCTGTGGTTTACTGTACAAGATGAAAACTGGGAAGCCTGTAGCTCACAGGAGTGAGCTTGTTTTCCAGGATTCTAACTTCAGCTTCTTGAGTCTTACTATTCTTTAGTAGAGACCTTTCCTCCTGCATTACTTGCATGGTTTGTGAGCCATTCTCTCAAGTAAAAATGATGATGTATTAGAAAAAGATGGATGGATTCACAACCTATGGCACAGGTGCACTCCCTGGAGATGAATACTGTATTGTAGCATGTCGCAAAGGCACTGTGTTAATATCATGCATAATGCATGTGTGTTGTTTTTTGAGACAAGGTCTCAAATAAGCATTGCTAGCTGGCCTGGAACTCTGCAGCAGGCTGGACTTGAACTCACCAAGATCCTCGCAAGTCCTAGACTTATAGGCATGTGCCACCATGCCCAGCTCAGTATACTAAGATCACGTAGTAATTGTCATCTGATCTCTACATGTGTGCTGTGGCATGTGACTTCCCTACTGTTGCTCTGTACCATCAAAGCAGCTTCGAACAGCACAAAAGGCAGATTCTCCTGTCAGCAAGCGCTTCGTTCTCCTGCATGGTTTGTGGGTGTCATCAGGAGTGTGTTTACTGAGAAACAAGTTATCTTCCCAGCCTCCACATTCTAGCTGATGGGTGTGTGCGAGTTCACTTCTACAACCAACACTAGGCAAAACTCGAACTTCAAGAGCTACTTTTTTGGAATTCTGCTCTCATAAACGCTCTCAGCTTCGGTGATCACTTGAATGGCCTGGGCCCATTAACAGACCATCACGGGGCCTCCAGTCCGCCAGGATACTGGTTGCCAAGACAGAGCTTGTTAGGTGGAGCAGGCCCTTTTAAACTGCCTATGCTCCTATAGGTAGCCCAATTAAACTCACTGTTTCACCAATCTTCACATGGTGGATTTTCTTTTTGGTCTGCTGCTAGAGTGACTAAATGTTTCTCTTCTGCCCCAGGAAAAGTTCATAGAACAGCTTCTCAGCTTATTTTGAAAAATTTTTAAAATGGATCAATTTTATACCATTCAACAGAAAGTGAGGCTAATAAAGAATACCACGTGATTCAAACACTTGAACAAGTAACTGTTTTAATTGTTTTATTTTTTAAAAATATTATGTCATAGGTAGCCTTTTAAAGATTTGGGCTAGGGGTAGGACGGTTGGCCCAACAGTTCAGAAGTGTTCCAAAGGAACCAGGTTTCATTCCTAGCACAAACACGGTAGACCACAACCCCTCGTATCTCCATGTTCAGGGAATCTGATGCTCTTTCTGATCCCTGAGGTCCCAGGCATGCAAGAGGTACACAAGACATACATTTAGGAAAAACATCCATACGCATATAGTGGATAAATAAAAATCCTAAATGAATAAATAAATAGGTTGGGCTCATTCCAAATTAACCTTGTGGTTACCATTCCTATGGCAGGATTCCCATGTTGCAGGTTTTACTGAATTGCATATTCCATGGAGAGAATACACTGTAACTTAGTTGCCTTCTTTCCTTCTTTCCTGTTATCTTCAAATAATCACATGAATTCAGTGACAGAACATTTTTTATTTATTATTCAGCTACAAGGAATATGAATTGCTTCCTATCAGCCAAGAAGCTCAGACAATATATGAAAAATGTATTAGGAAGGTCAAATGAATTGTAAAGATATTTTGAAACCACTTATTTATCATTCTACTTGGAGAGTTTCACTTTAAGCAAGGAGACACTCAAAATCATGACGAGGTTAAAAACCAGACGAATAAATATCCTCCTGCCTCAATGTCTGAGGCATCAGTAGACTGCAGAGCAAGGCGGGCAGAGTCCCCCAAATGGCAACACTGCTGACCTACAATAAATTCCCTGAGCTCTGGAGACCCGAGAGACTCCAAAAATTCCTTAAAATTCTGAAGTTATTCATTGGCTGAGCCACTTTGTAGCTCATGGTACAATTTTAACAGCCTCAGCTTTTAATACTTCTGTTGACACATTTGTTAGGTTTGTTGAGATGGTTTTGCTACCTGTGGTAACTTTTCTCGTTGTTCTGACCAAAACAAGGGAAGAATTATGTTTGCTGTTGTTGTTTTCTCTCTTGACACATTGGCTGGCTTCGAAATTCATAGAGATCTGCCTACTGCAATTGAAGGCATGTACCACCAAGCTTGGCCTGAGAATTGTTTTTTTTGGTTCATGGTTTCAAAGGTTCCACAAACAATCTTTAGGCCCCATGCAGGGAGCCTCTGCAATGACCCACCCCCAAGGAAGAGGCCCTGGACAAGATCTCTGGACAGTCCTAGCTTCAGAGACTTAACTCCAGATCCAGCCCCACTTGAGGTTCCTACAATTTTGCAAAATAGCACTACCAGTTGTACCAAAGATCAACACCAGCCTTGGGGATGTGTCAAGCTGTACCATTACATGGCTCAGGCTGGCCTTAGACTTGCAATCTTCCTGCCTCGGTTTTGATCGCTAGGATCACAGGTGTGTTACTATGTTTGACTCTTGTCTACCTGGGTGTCTGTTCTCATGGAACTTTCTGAAATAAGATAAACAGCTACAAAGTTGCAGTTTCCTAAATTCCATTAAGCAGAGAAGTAAATGTTTAGCTATGGTTAAAGTAGACACATTTAAATATTACCTTCTAGTCAACCCTCCGTCTGGACAGATGGACCTCCAGTTGCTTCATTCGCCCGATGTTTTCGATTTTAAAAAGCAAAGTCCTTGTAACCTCTGTCCTGCTGTGCATGCCTTCTCTGCCGTGACCAGTCATGAGTCCTAAGAGGGAGCTGTTCTCTCATGGCTGCCACTAAAAATACATTTATTCCTTTCCTAAGTAGCTTTTCTACACAGATTATAAACCTTACCTCAATTTACTTCACCCAGATTCTACCTCAGTCTCAACCGAGAAAACATGGTCCCTGAAAGCTATCATCGATTTAACCTGTTATTCTCATAAACCTCGAAGCCCACAACAAACTCCACAGCAGGCAGGGAGCTGGGAGCCTTCTGTAGATGGGGGCTGGGAAGCACCATTAGCTCTGTGAGCAATAACCAAACTCAGACATGAGGAAGCAAGAACAACTGTAGGAAATTCAAATGAAGAATTTAGCAGTCCAAAGCCTGGGAATCAAAACAGGCTGCACTGAGTATGCACTGGGCAATCCTTGACCATGCTTCTCACCACAAACTGGTCTCCTTACAAGAAGACAACAAGTACAGATGAAATCTGTGAGCTAGTTTCAGTCTTTTCAAATGACTTAGGCTGGGCTCCATGATGGTGCTGGATGACTGACATGTCTTGCTATTTCTCTGGCTAAAAGCTCTTAGCAGTTCTGTTACACTTCATCCAGCAGAAAGAGGGGCTGCAGAGCCCTGAGACTGAGCTTATCCACATAACTGCACTTGAGACTGGTTCTTCCACCCTAAGGGACAGGTACAGTGGGGCACACAGGTTAATTCTGAGAAAGTGATAAGAAAAACAAACAGGCTATTTGGAAGGTGAATGCAAAACCTCTTAAATCAGAAGTTTAATGTCACCCTTGGCTACAGGACAAGTTGAAAGTAGGCTTGGTCTACATGACTCAAAAACAAACAAACAAACCCCCAAACCACCACCACAAAAAAAACCACCACCCATCCCAAAGCCAGGGTCCTAAACTGACCTCAAAGCTCCAAGAAGCCAGCTATTTGGAAACTGAAGAAACGTGGCTAGCCAATCCCAAACACCCAGTGGATGCAAAAAGAGACAAGAAACTCAACAGTTTTAAAACAAGCTTGTCCAAGGGAAATAGTAACTCCTCAATTCTGCCCCTAATAAAACCACTCTCCCCTTTCCTATCTTTTGCCATGAAAACTCCAGACTGAAACCAATATGTCTCACTATGTAACAGGTTGACCTCAAATCACTGAGATCCACCTGCCTCTGCTTCCTGAGTGCTGGGATTAAAGGTGTGAACCACCATGCTTAGCAAGAGGGATAATTTTTGAGAAATAGAAAATCTGGTGGGTTACCTCCCTCCCACTGAAGGTACAGCTCTTTCCTGTTATAATCTCCATTCTCCTCTTGTGTTTAGTAGGAGCCAATACTGTCACCTCCATCTACTTACTGAGGTACTGACCTGAACACCTGAACTGTATTAAGATAAACCAGCATCTCCATGAAGGGGCTAGGAAACAGACTAAGCCCACATTGTACTTCAGAGCTAGCCTGATCTCCTACTGATGTCTAGTTTGGACAAAAATCATGCCTGGCTGGCCTGCTGAAGCCACAATTTTCTTGAAATCAACTCCTTCCTTGACTTGTTAAATGCTAAAACTTCACAAAAACACTCAATATGATGAAGAAGCTTTCAATATTTCAACAGTTACATGTTTTATTGGATATTTTTAATTCTTTCAACCTGAATAACATGATTTTATCGAATTAGCAGATGGATACATGACCTTGGAGCAAACCTGGTTTGAAAAGGCAGCATTTTAGAGAGGCATACATCTACCCCATCCTGGAGAGCAGTCTGTTCCACCTGGCTACATCCTGAAGTTAGTCTTCCCCACAATGCTAGGCTATGGGCTGGAGAATACTGAGGAGGTACAGCTGAGAGCTGCAGGTGGGTGGAGAGGACGGCAGCTCAGCCTCTGCAAACAGGATGTGTAAGAGCTGCTGCTGTGTCCTGTCCACTGGCTCTCTAGTCTAGAGATATCTGATACTGCAGCAAAGAGTGTAACTAAAAATTGTTCCTCTAGAAAGGAAATCTACAGTAAAACACTGCTTTGTGTTGCTCATTATTAAAAACAAAATTTATAGTAAGAAACACACACACACACACACACACACACACACACACACACACACACACA